GTTCCCTGTGGCTTCCCTCGAGCAGCGGTGGATGGTGCAGCTTCACACAGGAACCCCCCCATCCATGGGGCTTCCACCTGGGGAGGTCCTAGTGAGGAACTGGTCGAGGGTAAAGCACCTCCTAGACTAGGGGGGCCTTCCTCAGAACTAGGAAAAGTGGAGATACCAGAAGCAGTGGAATTAGCCCCCCATGAGATAGAAGACTGCTTAGAGGCCCTGAGTGGCCATGTAGTAGCCAGGATTGTATGATTTTTGCTTCTTGAGATATTGGAAAGAGTTATTGAGGAGAAAGACACACTTCGCCATCACTTGGAGGAGATAGGTGATGACCTATAGGGTGCCCTTAAGAAAGAGAGACAGTTATTGAGAAGACAGGTCCTGCTCCAGGAAGATAAGTCAGCAGCGAGGGAGGAGGCAGCAGGAGAAGCTGCACTGCAGGAGGCCATGGAGGATGGGAAGGAAAGAGCGGTGCCTTCAGCCCCAAAGATGGTAGAGGGGATGTTGGGAGAGGATGAGGGGGTGGGGCCAAGGACTGACCTGTTGTCAAAGCCACCTCCCAAGATACCAGCCTTTCCTGTATTAAAGGCCTGCCTGGTTGTAATCAAATAATAAAAATGTAACAAAGCAAAAACTGAAGGAACAAAACAGCAGCAGACTCACAGAACCCAAGAATGGACTAAGAGTTACCAAAGGGAAAGGGACTGGGGAGGATGGGTGGGGAGGGAGGGATAAGGGGAAAAGGGGGCATTACGATTAGCACACATAATGTAGAGGGTGCCACGGGGAAGGCAGTATAGCACAGAGAAGACAAGTAGTGATTCTATAACATCTTACTACGCTGATGGACAGTGACTGTAATGGGGTATGTGGTGGGGACTTGATAATGAGGGAATCTAGTAACCACAATATTGCTCATGTAAGTGTATATTAATGATACTACACAAAAAAGAAGAAGAAGAAGAAGAAGAAGAAGAAATGCAACAACTGCAGGTTCCTTAGTGGGAGGAGTCCCTCCCTCCCCAGGTTGTGGAGCACTCCATGTTCCACCCCGAAATGCAGGATGAGCTGGTAGACATGAGCACCCTGTCTCAGCAGAAGCTGTCAGAACCTCTGTCTATGCTTTTGCATCTCTGGGATATGGGGTGATAAACACTGTTATGTCAGGTTCCGAAACGGCTAGACTGGCTTCACTGATGACTCACTCTTTCCTCCGGCAGTGGTTGCAAAGTGTCTGCCACACCTCAGGGAATCAGGTGCTTCTGGATTGGCTGACAACAACCATCAGGGCAATTTGGCCTAATTAGGGTGATTTACCATATTCACCCACTAGCTGGAAAACTTATGCAGAGCTACAGCAGGTGCTACAGGAGCTGGGCATGAAAAATATCACGCATAATATGGACCCCCAGGGCCACAATGAGGAGTTGTTCACTGTAGGAATGAGAAATCTGGTGCTCCGTATAGTTCCCCCATGTATCTTTGGGTCCCTAGTGACTATTCTTGCCCCCAACATAGGGCAACCCATAAGTGAGGCTACTTTAGCAGATCTGGAGGAGGTTGAAACACTAAGAGCCTAAAAGGAAGTATGGGATACAACTGAAAGGAGAGGTGCAAAGGGCCCTGTGAAAGTGTTGAGGACCCAGATGTGGGTTGATTTGATAAAGGCTAGGGTAGTGAAAGAAAAACTTGATGGTCATCACAATACAATCTTGTTAGAACCATGACACCAATGAAAGTTAGAGCAACAGTTCCAGCCACTGACGTCCAGGACATATAAGCTGGAGGCAAAGCCCCATGTCCAGACTATGTCCCTGCAGGACTTCCTGAGGGACAGTTCTCAGGCTCCTCCTGGGCTCTCACCCCCACAGGAGGACAATTGGGCATCGTAGTTTGACTGAGGGGACGGGGTCAAGGCCCCCACCTTGGGGGACCTGGTGGGGACCAGAGGCCGCATGTAGAATTAGCAATTCATTGGTCCCCAGTGAATGTACAACATGTCCTGGCATTGGCGGACACAGGAGCTGAGTGTTCTCTGATTTATGGTAACCTGAGCATTTTCCTGGGTCCCCTGCTGATACAGATGGCTATGGGGGTAGGGCAATTAGAGTGCAGAAAGCTCAAATCTCATTGAGGATAGGTCATTTACCCCCAAAGGAGTATACTGTGTACATTTCTCCCATCCCTGAATATATTTGGGGGGTGGATATACTGGAGGGCCTGTGGTTACAGACCACTGCAGGTAAGTTTGGACTGAGGGTACATGTGGTAAAGGCAGTTTTGAGGGGACATCCTAAGCACCCACCTGTAGCTCTGCCTGTACCTTGGTGGGTGACAAATACTAAGCAATATAAATTGCTTAGGAGATACAAGGAATTTGGAGAAACTCTACAGGAGTTGGAGAAGGTGGGCATCATAAAGCCCACTCATAGTCCTTCTAATTCCCTGATGTGGCCAGGAGAAAGCCAGATGGCTCCTGGCATGTGACCATGGATTACAGAGAATTAAATAAAGTCACACCCTTTTGGCATGCTGTTCTCCCCTCTATAGCAGGCCTTATGGACACCCTCAGCCATGAACTGGGAACGTATCATTATGTAGAAGACCTGGCTAATGCTTTTTGATCTATTGACATAGCACAGGAAAGTCAGGATCAGTTTGCCTTCACTTGGGAAGGATGGCAGTGGACATTCACTGTCCTTCTACAGGGATACCTCCATAGTCCCACCATTTGTCGTGGACTTGTAGCCCAGGACTTGGCTACATAGAAGAAACCATAAACAATACGGCTGTATCACTACATTGATGATATCATACTCACATCTGATTCTCTTTCAGATTTAGAAGGGGCAGTTCCTATACCAATGCAACATCTACAGGAGAAAGGATGGGCTGTGAAAAGTACTAAGGTTCAGGGAACTAGTTTGTAAAATTCTTGGCAGTTGTCTGGTCAGGTAAAACTAAAGTTATCCCAGAAGCAGTCATAGACAAGGTCCAGGCTTTCCCTACCCCTACCACTGTGGCAGTATTACAAGAGTTTTGGGGTCTTTTGGGCTACTGGAGAGTGTTTATCCTGCACTTGGCACAAATTCTGAAGTCCTTACACCAGTTGGTATGAAAGGGCATTAGGTGGGACTGGGATGAAACATGTGCAGCTGCTTTTACTGCTGCTAATCAAGCAGTCAAGGCTGTATAGGCCTTGAGTGTAATAGACTCATCAAGGCCCTGTGAGCTAGATGTTCATGTAACCAATGATGGCTATGGATGGGGCCTTTGGCAGTGCCTTGAACAGACCTGCCAACCTATTGGATTCTGGTTGCAACTATGGAAAGGAGAAGAGGTCCAGTACACTATGATAGAGAAGCAACTGGCTGCTGTGTACCATGCTTTGCTGGTTATGGAGCCCATCACCAGAACAGCTCCAATCAAGGTAAAAATCACTTATACCATCACAGAGTGGGTACAAGACTGGACCCAAAGGCTAAGGAGTGGCATGGAACAGGTGCCAACATTGTCCATATGGGGTGCATATTACAGCAGTGTAGTATCTTCTCCATTTGCCCCTTAAGTGGTGAACTCCAGTACTTACTGGGGCCAGTGACATATACCAGTGAAAAGTGGAAGAACTTGCTTTTGAACCATTGGTAGCCAAGAGTTCTTATCAGGAAGGGAAAGCCACTATACCTGAAGATGCTTGGTATATAGATGGCTCCAGTCGTGGGGAGCCCCAGAAGGGATGGATGTGGCTTTCCATCCTAAGACTGAGACAATATGGATGGAAGACAGAGAGAGGAGGAGCAGTCAATGGGCTGAGTTGCAGGCAGTATGGCTCGTGATCACCCAGAAGACCTCCCCTATAGTTGTCTGCACTAACAGCTTGGTCATCTATTGGGGCTTGACCCTGTGGCTACCGACATTATACCATGCCAACTGGATGGTTGGTCACTGGCCCCCTTGGGGACAAGAGTTGTGACAAGACCTGTGGGCCTCTGGTCAGACTAAGACAGTTACCATTATCATGTGACTGGCCACTTGCCTTTGGTATCCCCAGGGAATGATGAAGCAGACACACTGGCCCAGGTGCACTGGCTAGAAGGAAACCCTGTCTCTGATGTAGCCCAATGGTTACCAGCATTTGTTGCATGCAGGGCAAAAGACAATGTGGGCTGTAGCCCATTGGTGGGGCTTGCCATTGACCTTTGAAAAAGTCATCAGAGCTCAAAAGGAACGCTTTGTGTGCTCTAAGAGGGACTTATACCGAGTCCCACAGCAACATGGGAAAATAGTAAAGGGGCCAATACCCCTTGTCAGGTGGCAGATAAATTATATTAGGCCTTTGCCCATGTCAAAAATGTATTGGTATACCATGACTTGTGTGGACACAGCTACTGGAATTCTGATTGCTTTCCTACAAGTCATCCAGATCAGCAAATGACCAAAAGGTGCCTAAGGAGTCTCTTTGTAGCCTATGGTCAGCTACAGGTGATGAGACTGATCAAGGCACCCACTTTACTGGACATGCGTTACAAGAATGGGTACAGCAATTAGGGATAAAGTGGAAGTTTCATGTACCATATAACCCTACTGGGGCAAGCATGATAGAGAGATACAATGGTTTGTTGAAATCTGACCTGAAGTTAGACACCAATAGTCTATGGGGCTGGTCAGTTCGCTTATGGACAGTGCTATGGGGTTTGAATGAGAAACTCTGAAAAGGAGCCTTGAGCCCTGTGGATATGCTCACACACATTGTTGCCTCTCCTATACAACTGTATGTGCAAACCAAAGAGGAGTTATTGAAGCCAGGATATGGGCAGCAGAGCAATATCCTGCTGCCAGCCCTGACTGCATTAAACTCTGGAGACACTGTTGAGTGGATGTGGCCTTGGACATTTTGACAAATTGGCCAGGGATGGCTGGCCCTTCTGGCACCTTGGGGAAAAGGCCTGGAAGCTAGCCTCCTGGGTGTTCCTGGAATAATAGCATAGTGGCCCCCCCAAATCATGATTGTGTACCCAAAACGTCCAAGAGGTAAGAGCACCTTATGGGGAAGTTTTGTTTTGTCGTTATGGCCAGTGCATGTACCTCCCATAGCCCTATATATTGACCCATCTATAACTCCCACAGGGAGGCAGGTAAAAGTCGGGTTTACTAGACCAGGCTGAGATCCCTTTCCTACCACTGTCCTATCACAGACCACTGTCTTACATGCATCCTACCTAGTGGACAAGATTTGCCCATGCTGGTGTCATTAAAACATGTATCTTACTGCTCTTAAGGTTACTTTCTTCCACAGTCCCTGTGGCCCAGAACTGCCCCTTGGCTGCAGCTGCTGCATGATGAGTGCGCTGAACTCCCTACTGGTTCAGCTAATGACCTCTTGTGGAATGGGCAAGCTATGGACTTAATCTGCATAGGACTTTGAACCTAGCTGAATCCTCCAGCTTGAGGATTGGCATGATTTTATTTATGTTGTTATTGTATGTTATTATTCTGGTTACAGTGTCCCAGTTTTCTCACACAGGGGCCATTGTGGAAGATGTGGAGCAAGTAGATTGTGAGGCAAGATTTCTGGAGGAGTGGGCTGTAGGTAAAATTGAAATATTTGCAGAATCTCTCACCTAGCCTTAGTGCATCTCCATACCAATAGCTGATTGCAACAGGGGTGGAGAGCAAGCAGGCAGCTGTACCAGAGAGGTATTTTTTTGGTTTCTTCACAGCCAGGTCATGAGAGACATGGGTGAGCAGGAGAAGACGACTTCTTGTAAGCAATAAATGGGTTTCTCTCACTTTATTTTTGCCTTTGATTGATTTTGGCCCCAAATGTGTATTTGTCCCAGGCTGGAAACATGTTTTCCCCCCAGAGTTATACCACCACATACACTTGAGTCCATCTAGGACTTTTAGATTGCACTGGAAGCTCTTGCACATCAGAAAACTTTCCTTGATTAGAGCCACCCAAATTTTCCTTTTCTCTTACTTGCATTCCCTTAGGGCTGTGACAGACAATGTAGATTGGCCACCCAACAGCCAAGGCGCTTCCACTGCCTTTGTCACCTGAACTGAGAATAGTTTTCACCCTCCCTGTGCTCAAGGCAGGTACTCCTTCCCCAGCCCAGTCATGTTTTTGGACTCATCATGTGATGATATCACTGGTTTTAAAATGTAGGTGTTTTGCCTGAGGGGGATTGTCCCCAGGCAAGTTCACTCTGGATTCAGTGAGATCAAATAACTACTGAAAGGGGTAAAAGGATTTATACCAAGTTATATTCCCATGGTGGCAGGTCAAGTGCTGGAATTTCATCTGCCTCTAGGGCCTTTGCAATCCATCTTCTCTGCTGCTAGGCAGAGCACTGGGTGGAGCTCTTTAATATAGGAACACAGGTGTGTAAGCATTAGCCTACACCGTAGGCCAAGTACATCATCAAGTAGTTTAGGTTCAGGTGAGGATCTTGACCATAGGCACTTTCATTTTCCCTTTGGTAGGTTTTATTGTTTTTCAGGTATGCTGAGGCAAACAGATCAGGAGACAATTGCCATTGAAAAGATTGTTACTCACAGCTCCCCAGGAGGAAGCATCCATGCCACACTAGGGGGCCACATAGGGAGGCACCAGGGTTATCTGGAGGGAGAAGCAGCAAGGGAAATGTGGGCAAGAGCCTTTTTCCAGTGTCTGTAGGACAGAACAGGTGAGGCAGTATAAGCAAGATTGGCTAGTCGAGTAATTTCAGTGGGCCCTGGGCATAGGGAAGTCCCTAGTTGTCTAGTACCTGGCCCTGGGATGGTTAGGGAGATGCATGGTGGCCCAGAGTGTGAAGCCTGATAAAGGAGGTGGTTGGGGTGTGGGGTATAGAATCTGGATTGGGTGGCTTGCATATGAAAGGCATGCTTGTAGGCCAATAGTTTACTATCTTTGGCAATTAGGTAGCCCTGTGAGGGGCAGTTTTTCCAGGGTCAGCAAGGGTCCAAGGAGTCAATGCATCAGGAAATAGAAAGTCATAATTAATGCAATTGGCCTTGGAGCCATCTTGTGACCACAAGACAAAGCCAACACAATTCCCAAGAAGCCACTTTAGGCCTTCTGAATTTGCTGAACCACCAAGTTAAGCAACCCTGAATTGCCTCCCTCTGATGTTCTTATTAAGTAAGACAAAGCTTTACTGCATCAGCCACTTTTATTCAGCTATTATTATGTTACCTGCCACTGAAAGCATCCTTACTATATATTTAAGCCTTTGGTTTGCTCTAAAGGTAAAATTTTAACTTCAATCTGTTTTGTTACATTAGAATTACTTTTTAAAGAAAGAGCTGCTGGCAGGTGGCACTCAAGATGGCAGTGTGAGTAGGGTGGTGGAAATCTCCTCTCAAAACCATATATACATTTTGAAAATAGAGCAAATACAACTATTCCTAAAAGAGAGACCAGAAGATACAGTAAAACAGCCAGGCTACATCTACATCTGCGAGAACTCATCATCTCATGGAAAGGGTAAGATACAAAGCTGCGACCCGGAGGGACCCGAGCACTCCCCACACCCCAGCTCACCGGGAAGAAGAAGAGAATCAGAGTGGGGAGGGAGGAAGCACAGGACTGCTAAATAACCAGCCTTAGTAATCTGCACTGGAAGCACAGACACACATTGCATGGTGTACTGGATATTAGAGAAACAGAAAAGTAAAATCTGAGATGGAGACTGCAAGCAGGTCCCCATACCTGGCTCCCTTGGGACAAAAGAAAAGTGTGTGCTTTAAAAGTCTGAAAAGGACAAGGGTTTAACAGGTGGACAAAATCGTCCTGGCACACACACACTCAGCCCAACAGGCTAGAATCTTGAGGAATTTCAGGTGCCCTAACCCCCTGGGTGGCAACGCAGCTCCAAAGCTCCTCATGGCAATAAGCAGCCTGCCATTCATAACCCCCTGCTGGCACTGCAAGCAAACCAGCTGACCCACCATGGCTGCAAACCAGCTGGAGAGCAGCCATACCCACAGCAACCACACAGAGTCTATTTCCAGCATGCAGCTAACAAGGCCAGACCCAAACGCTGCTGCCAGCACAAAGCTACCTGGCACAGGCAGAGGAAGCTGGTGCAAGCTCCAGAAGGTATGAAGGGGTGCCGTTCTCACAGGAGAACACACCCTGTGCATGTGTAAACCCCCACAGTGCCCTAGGTTATCCCAAGAGCCACCCCATCCACGGCAACTCAGAAGATTAACCCAGACTGTTCCTGGTATGTGAGTAACGGGCACAGGCAGCAGAGAAGGGCAAGGGGACCAGCAAGCAGGAAGGGGCTTTGTTCTCCCAACTGACACACGTGCCACTTGCCAGCAATCACTTTTATCACCATGAAAAAGCAGAAGAACCTGCTCCAGTCCAAAATCACTGAACAACACCAGAGAGAGGGCCAAGAAAAATAGATATAACCAATATTCCTGTAAAAGAATTCAAAATAAAACTCATAACCATGTTCATGGACCTGCAGAGAAATATGCAAGAGCTAAGGGATGAAGTCTGCAGGGAGATGTCAGAAATGAAACAATCAATGGAAGTACTTAAGAGCAGACTGGATGAGGGGCAAGAGACTGTTAATGGAATAGAAATCAGAGAACAGGAACACAGTGAAGCTGAGGCAGAGTGAGATAAAAGGATCTCTAGGAATGAAAGAATATTAAGAGAACTGTGTGACCAATCCAAAAGGAACAATATCTGCATTATAGGGGTACCAGAAGAAGAAGAGAGAGAAAAAGGGACAGAAAGTGTCTTTGAAGAAATAATTGCTGAAAACTTCCCAAGCTGGGGAAGGAAATAGTCTCTCAGACCATGGAAACCCACAGATCTCCCAACACAAGAGACTCAAGCAGGACAACACCAAGACATATAATAATTAAAATGGCAAAGATCAAAGACAAGGACAAGATATTAAATGCAGTCAGAGAGAGAAAAAAGGTCACCTACAAAGGAAAACCCATCAGGCTATCATCAGACATCTCAACAGAAACCTTATAGGCCAGAAAAGAATGACATGATATATTTAATGCAATGAAACAGAAGGGCCTTGAACCAAGAATACTGTATCCAGCAAGATTATCATTTAAATTTGAAGGAGGGATTAAACAATTTCCAGGTAAGCAAAAATTGAGGGAATTTGCCTGGCATAAACCACCCCTATAGGGTATTGTAGAGGGACTGCTCTAGATGGAAGCACTCCTAAGTCTAAATAGATGTCACCAGAGAAAATAAAATCACAGCAAAGAAAGCAGACCAACCAAATACTAACTAAAGGCAAAAAATAAAAGCAACAATTCACAAAAGCAGTCAAAGGAAACACAAAAGAGTACAGAATAAAACATCTAACATATAAAGTGTGGAGAAGAAAGAAGAAGAAGGGAGAGAAATAAAGAATCACCAGACTGTGTTTATGATAGCATAATAAGTGAGTTAAAGTTAGACAGTTAGATAGGAAAGAAGCTACCCTGGAACCTTTGGTAACCATGAATCCAAAGCCTGCAATGGCAATAAGTACACATCTATCGATAATCACCCTAAATGTAAATGGACTGAATGCACCAATCAAAAGACACAGAATAATAGAATGGATAAACAAGCAAGATACATCTATATGCTGCTTAGAAGAGACTCACCTCAAAACCAAAGACATACACAGACTAAAAGTCAAGGGATGGAAAAAGATATTTCATGCAAACAATAGAGAGAAAAAAGCAGGTGTTGCAGTACTAGTATCAAACAAAATAGACTTCAAAACAAAGAAAGTAACAAGAAATAAAGAAGGACATTACATAATGATAAAGGGGTCAGTGCAACAAGAGGATATAACCATTCTAAATATATATGCACCCAACACAGGAGCACCAACATATGTGAAACTAATACTAACAGAATTGAAGAAGGAAATAGAATGCATGCATTCATTTTAGGAGACTTCAACACACCATTCACTCCAAAGGACAGATCCACCAGACAGAAAATAAGTAAGGACACAGAGGCACTGAACAACACACTAGAACAGATGGACCTAACAGACATCTATAGAACTCTACACCCAAAAGCAGCAGAATACACTTTCCTCTCAAGTGCACATGGAATATTTTCCAGAATAGACCACATACTAGGCCACTAAGAGAGCCTAAGTAAATTCAAAAAGATTGAAATTGTACCAACCAACTTCTCAGATCACAAAGGTATAAAACTAGAAATAAATTGTACAAAGAAAACAAAAAGGCTCACAAACACATGGAGGCTTAACGATATGCTCCTAAATAATCAATGGACCAATGACCAAATTAAAACAGAGATCAAGCAATATATGGAGACAAATGACAACAACAGCACAATGCCCCAACTTCTGCAGGATGCAGAGAAGGCAGTTCTAAGAGGAAAGTATATAGCAATCCAGGCCTATTAAAAGAAGGAAGAACAATCCCAAATGCATAGTTTAAAGTCACAATTACTGAAACTGGAACAAATAAGAACAAATGTCAGCAGAAGGAGGGTCATAATAAAGATCAGAGAAGAAATAAATAAAATTGAGAAGAATAAAACAATAGAAAAAATCAATGAAACCAAGAGCTGGTTCTTTGAGAAAATAAACAAAATAGATAAACCCCTAGCAAGACTTATTAAGAGAAAAAGAGAATCTACACACATAAACAGAATCAGAAATGAGAAAGGAAAAATTATGACAGACACCACAGAAATACAAAAAATTATTAGAAAGTACTATGAACATCTATATGCTAACAAGCTGGATAACCCAGAAGAAATGGAAGACTTTCTAGAAAAATACAACCTTCCAAGACTGACCAAGGAAGAAACAGAAAATCTAAACAGACCAATTACCAGCAATGAAATTGAACTGATAATCAAAAAACTACCCAAGAAGAAAACCCCCATGCCAGATGGATTCACCACTGAATTTCATCAGACATTTAGAGAAGATATAATACCCATTCTCCTTAAAGTTTTCCAAAAAATAGAAGAGAAGGGAATATTTCCAAACTCATTCTATAAAGCCAGCATCATTATAATACAAAAACAAGGCACAGACCCGACAACAAAAAAAATTACAGACCAATATCCCTGATGAACGTAGATGCAAAAATACTCAACAAAATATTAGCAAACCAAATTCAAAAATACATCAACGGGATCATACACCATGATCAAGTGGGATTCATCCCAGGGATGCAAGGATGGTACAACATTGGAAAATCCATCAACATCATCACCACATCAATAAAAAGGACAAAAACCACATGATCACCTCCATAGATGCTGAAAAAGCATTCAACAGAGTTCAACATCCATTCATGTTGAACTCTTAACAAAATGTGTATAGAGGACAAGTACATCAACATAATAAAGGCCATATATGACAAACCCACAGCCAACATCATACTGAACAGTGAGGAGCTGAAAGCTTTTCACCTAAGATCACGAACAATACACGCATGCCCACTCTCCCCAGTTTTATTCAACATAGTACTGGAGGTCCTAGCCACGGCAATCAGACAAAACAAAGAAATAAAGTGCATCAAGTTTGGTAAGGAAGAAGTCAAACTGTCACTATTTGCAGATGACATGATATTGTACATAAAACACCCTACAACTCCAAAACTACTAGAACTAATATCTGAATTCAGCAAAGTTGCAGAATACAAAATTAATACACAGAAATCTGTTGCTTTCCTATACACTAATGATGAACTAGCAGAAAGAGAAATCAGGAAAACAATTCCATTCACAATTGCATCAAAAAGAATAAAAAAACCTAGGAATAAACCTAAGCAAGGAAGTGAAAGACCTATAGCCTGAAAACTATAAGACACTCTTAAGAGAAATTAAGGAGGACACTAACAAATGGAATCTCATCTCATGCTCTTGGGTGGGAAGGATTAATATTGTCAAGATGGCCATCCTGCTTAAAGCAATATACAGATTCAATGCAATTCCTATCAAAATACCAATAGCATTCTTTAACAAACTGGAACAAATAGTTCAAAAATTCATATGGAAACACCAAAGACCCCAAATAGCCAAAGCAATCCTGAGNGGTGAGCTGGGGTGGGGGAGGGGCTGGGGTTCTGCGGAGCCACAGCTCCTGTACGTTACCCAGTTGGGTGGGGTCTGCTCTTTTCTCCAGGTGTGTGCAGTCTGACGTGGTACTCTTTCCTGTTGCTCTCTCAGGATTAGTTGCACCAATCAAATTTTCTAATTGTATCCAGTTTTAGGAGGAAGCCTCTGTCTCTCTTCTCATGTCGCCATCTTTAATCCTATTAAGGTGAGGTGTCTTTTAAGCTCTTTGGCACTTGTTTAAATTGGACTCGTTGTTTTCATACTGTTGAGTTTTTAACAGTTATTTGTATTGATACCAGTCCTTTATAAGATGTTTTTTGCAGATATTGTCTCCCAGTTTGTGGCTTGTTGATTTACTCTCTTGACTCTCCCTTTCACAGAACTGAAGTTTTTTTTTTGGAAGTCTGCTTATCAGTTCTTTCATGGATGGTGCCTTTGGTGGTGTGTCTAAAAATCATTACCACAGCCAAGGTCATCTAGGTTTTCTCCTATTACCTTCTAGGAGTTTGAGAGTCTGTGACCCACCCTGAGTTAATTTTTGTGAAGGATGTAAGGTCTGTGTCCAGATACAATTTTTCCCATGTGGATGTCCGGTTGTTGGAGCACCATTTGTTGATTCCTATTGATTTATTTGTTAAATCAACCTTGCATTATGAATAAACCCCACTTGGTAATGATCTACTTATTTTATTTTTCACATATTGCCAGATTTGATTTGTTAATTGTTGAAATTTTTGTGTGTATTCATGAGTGATTTTGGTGTGTAGCTTTTGTGTAATTTTGTTTTTTTCGAGGGGGGGCACTTTTTCATTGAAATATAGTTGACATATGTCTGGTTTTGGTATCAGAGTAAAGTTGGCTTTGTAAGATGAGTTGAGAATTATTTCCTCTTTTCTGTGGGAATTTGTGTAGAAATTGGTATTATTTCATCTTTAAGTGTTTGGGGGAATTATAGTAAAACCACATTAGCATGGAATTTCTTAAGTATAGGTTATTTAGGTTTTCTTCTTTTCTTTTGTCAGTGTAGAAATTTGTCTTTCAGAGAACCAACTTTTGGGTTCATTGATATTCTCTACTGTCTGTTATATATTTTATTGCTTTCCAGTGTTAATTTTATCATTTCCTTCTTCCTACTTTAATTTCCAAGTGGTCTAATTTTTCTAATTTCTTAAAGTGTAAGCTTAGATTGTTTATTTTTCAGATAATTTTTTCTTCCTGATAATGAGCATTTAGAGGTATGCTTAGCACTGTTAAAAAGCGCTGCTAAGACTTCCTGTGTTTTATTATTTAGATCAAGTTATTTTCTGAATATTTTCACTTGACATAGAATTCTGGGTTTAAAACAGTATTTTTCCTTCATCATCATTGCTTTCTGGCTTTTATCTTTTGTCATTTTTTGTTCCCCTGTATCTAATGGTCTTTTTTTTTTTTCTGTGGCTGCTTTTATCAATGAGATTATGTAATAGTTTTCTTTATGTTTATCCTACTTGGGTTTGATATTAGATTTATGGATTTGTAGTCTTCCATGAGTTTTTAAAAATTCTTGGTTATTCAGATATTTTTCTGCTCTTTTCTCTGTTCTTTAACTATTTGACAGAATTCTAGGACTTTTCTAGAACTTGAGTTACTTCTATTAATATTCTCCCATAAGTGACTGAAGGTTTCTTTCTTCCCCATATACTTTTTAACAAAATAGTCTTTATTGCTGTGTCTTCAGTGTCTTCAGTCTTCTTTTGCAATATGTTAAACTTGCCTAGTTAATTTTTAATTTCAGATTTCAATCCTGAGCAGGAAGAATAAAACAGGGGGGATCTCATTTCCCAACTTCAAGCTCTACTACAAAGCCACAGCAATCAAATTTGGTACTGGCACAAGAACAGACCCACAGACCAGTGGAACAGAATAGGGACTCCAGATATTAACCCAAAAATATATGGTCAATTAATATATGATAAAGGAGCCATGGATATACAATGGGGAAATGACAGTCCCTTCAATAACTGTTGTTGGCAAAACTGGACAGCTACATGTAAGAGAATGAAACTGGATCATTGTCTAAGCCCATACACAAAAGTAAATTCAAAATGGATCAGAGATCTGAATGTAATTCATGAAACCATAAAACTCTTGGAATTTACCCTAAGAATGCAGCAGCCCAGTCTGAAAAAGACAGATGCACCCCTATGTTTATTGCAGCACTATTTACAATAGCCAAGAAATGGAAGCAACCTAAGTGTCCATCAGTAGATGAATGGATAAAGAAGATGTGGTACATATGCACAATGGAATATTATTCAGCGATAAGAAGAAAACAAATCCTACCATTTGCAACAACATGGATGGAGCTAGAGGGTATTACACTCAGTGAAATAAGCCAAGTGGAGAAAGACAAGTATCAAATGATTTCACTCATCTGTGGAGTATAAGAACAAAGCAAAAACTGAAGAAACAAAACAGCAGCAGAATCACA